ACAAATCAGAATACTAAGAAACACTTTTGATTGATGAGAGTAGATGCTCAGAGATAGAGTGGCTTGCCAAGGATTATGATGATCAATAAGAGATAGAGGTGAATTAGGGATATTTTGGTCATTACTTTATAGCTTTGGCCATTTTTTCTAAAGTGGCAGAGATTTGACTGAAGTATTCATGAAGCAAAACTTAACAGCCCAGACATGCATGGTGCCTCCTCAACAGCAGAGATATAAAGCTCCAAGCATCAAGTTATAGGAACTGGTATTCAACTGTAAGTTAAATCATAAATTAAGTTCTAAAATATCTTAGTCAAATAAGATCAAGACCAAACATATTCTTCATAGACTAGTTGATGTTGGTATAAAGACAAAGAAAAGTAAGACAGACTAGTTCCTCAATGAATGGGTCTGCTACTCTCTTCTGCACTACTTATTTAGAGAAAACAGTTTCAGAATTAAGAAAATATTTTATCAAATTAATAGGAAAATCTTCCAAATTAATCCCTGTTCTCTGATTTTGATTAAGAACCAGAAAAGATCACTACTAGGCAAAAATTTTGCATCACTTGAAGTCACTTATCTTGGCAATGGTTAGATACTTCCAGCAGGTATTTGTTAAGAACCATAGGAAAAAAATACCTTCCTGAGGGTGTGGAGAGAGCGAGTGTTGTGCTTCACATAGAGCAGGGGTTCTCAATCATCCAAGTGCTGTGACCTTTTAATATAGCTCCTCACGTTGTGGTGACCATCAACCATAACATTATTTTTGTTGCTACTTAATAACTATAATTTTGCCACTGTTATGAATTTGCTACTGGTTTTGCCACGTAAAAAGTTTTGAAGATAGAAGCTTGCCAAAGGGGTCATGACCCACAGCTTGTCATAGAGCAAGTCATAGAAAACCAACACGATTTAGAGCTGGTCTTTTAAAAATGAATGCCCTTTACCGGTCCTCCTGAGGCACTTGTTAAACAATGAATCATGTTTTGTCCTTGCTGCCATGCAAAAGCACTGCTGCATTAGCAGATCCTAAAAAAACAAAAGAAAATGAAAACTAAAACAAGCAGCCTTAAATCCTTAGCTTAGTGTTGTCAGAGAAAATGGATCGTCCAAAGTACTAACGTGTACATAGCAATAACCAAAGTAATTAGCATATATGACTCATGAGACAAACTGATGATTGGTTCACTCATCTAGAGTTGGAAATATTAGGGGGTGGGGAGAGAATTTCATTATAAAGTGCTTGTCTGCAAACATGAAGGCTTGAGTTTGAGTCCCAGAACTACTGTTTTGAAAAGCTAGGTGTGGTGGTATAGGAAAGTGAAGACAGACAGATTCCCTAGGACTTATTGGTTAGCTAGACTGGCTTCTTTTAGATGAGGTCCAGGCCAGTGAGGACTTTTGCATCAAACATTAATAAATAAATAAATTAATGATGCTACTGGTATCTGAGAGAACATACCTTGGACCTCTACATACACCTGCTCACACGTACATGTGTATGTTTAATGTGTATGAGTGCTTATACATATACACTTGTCTATGCACACATACACAGCTTGATATAGCAGTGTAGTATTTGAAGCTAATTTACTTAGATCTAAGTCAATTATAGTACTCCCTTAGCTCTGGCTAATGCGAACAACTGCGGTGTTTTAAAATTAGATATGTATTTTAGCAAAGACTGTGCATCTGTTACTACCTAAAAGGTGTTACCACCTAAACGTGTCACTACCTAAAAAGGTTAGCTCTGAAGAAGCTATGCAAAATCTGTAGAAGAAAAGGTACCCAGGGAAAGAAAGGGAAAGAAAGACCAAACTTCCAAAACTCACAGCAACTTAAATGTGAATGGAACTTGGTTCATGGCAACATCATTATTTGAGTGTTATGGCAATGTAATTCAGAACAAATGAATCCTCTAAATAAAATTGGTCAGCCTGGTGCAGGAGTTTGAATATAATGGTGAAGTATTAATCTTTAATTACATGGTGATAGTAAGCATATGTTATCCAAAGTGAATAGATCACTCAGTTTTGGAGGGTTCTTCCTTGAAGGTAAAGAGTCCCTTCCTAGCTGATGACCAATGCTCTCTACTTAAGTTGTATTTTGTTTTAGTATTTTTTGTGAAATTTTGAACATTTTTATGTATTTAGTGTGTGTGAATGTTTTGCTTACATGTTTGTCTGTGTATCACATGCATGCTTGGCGCCTGCAGAAGCCAGAAGAGGGCATCAGAACCCCTGGGAGTGGAGTTACAGATGGTTGTGAGACTCCATGTGAATGCTGGGAATTTAACCTGGGTCCTCTAGAAGAGCAGCCAGTGCTCCTAACCATTCAGCCATCTTTGCAGACCTGTGCTCATGTTTTCAAATCAGTAGAACTTTAAGATAAAACTTGAGTTTGGACCATCTTATTTGTACTTCTTTCCTTTCGGGTATGATATTATAAAAACCATCACTCATGAAATAAAATCTACCTACGGGGGAAAAAAACCAGCAACCCAAGGAAAAGCGAGAGGCTAGCTGCTGCTGCTCCTGCGCTGGCAGCAGTTGGGAACTGTGGAGCACATGGTACACTTTTGTTTTTCTTGGCTGTGTGGGTAAGTCTCCTCTCTTCTAGATTACTTTATTCAGGCCTCATATAAGCAACAAATGAGGTCATTGTTCAGGAGGCTCCAAAGACAATGCCAAAATTAAGCTGGTTTTATTTAATGTGCAAAATGACTTTGACATCTTTTTATATCTAGAAGGTCTTTTAAAAATATTACATCAGTTATATTAGAGAAAGGCCCACTTTCCAGGAGGAGCCAGAGGAAGAACAGCTATTATTTTTGCTGAGAGCAAAAATGTGCTCCTACCCCAACACTGCACGTTACAGTGACTTGGCACTGAGCAGGAGAATTTTAAATGTAGAATATTGCAGAGTGACACTTAACGAATATACTGAAGGTAAGGCAAGGGAAGTCAGATATGTGTGAACTTAAAATGCAAGGGGAGATGGAAGGAAAATCCTCAGCGGGGAAAGCTAGGTCTGAGTCACACAAATAATCTTTGCCTTTCAGGATGTATACCATGAAAACATCACAAGGACAGTGATTTAAGGCACAGAAGTAAATGCGCATGGCTGAGTATTTACTTTATAGCCAGGTTGTAAGTGCCTCCCTGGAGGACTTCATTCTCAGAGTGGCCTTAAAGCTTGGAAGCTCACTGATTCTAGACACTGCTTTATGTTTCTCTCTCCCCCTCCCCCGTCTCATTTCTGTGTGCTCTGTGCTGCATGTATCCATCATGGGACACACTTTCCCTTCCAACCAAGGCGACACTAATTTGGGGAGAAATTTCTAGCTACTTGAGAGTCTTGCCAAACAATCTGCAAATGGGAAGGAGTTTGGTGACTGTGACTGTTATTGGCAACTTCTGAAAGATTAGGTAATAAAGAAGCAGTGAAGAGCAGCCAGTGTGCTGACTCCTGCATTTCATTAGATCTGCTTCTGCATATGTATTAATAATGGTGTGGCCTGAGAATGCAATCCTGTGTTTTTAACACTTTGGCCACTGGCGATGTTGTACGCCCCTTTCCTGTGCCTTCTCCTCGGCTGCTCACAGACATCCAGATTCAGGTAGCAGAAATAGTTCAGCTAGCCCTTAATTAGCCTGCATTCTGCAGGTCAGATCGCCATAGCTCGTCACTAAAGAGAAATCACCTGGGTAACTACTGAGAGGAGTTTGTTCTTGTCCTTCTTAAGACTGAAAATCCAAGCTTTATTTTCTTTCCTAACCAAAGAAAACGTTAGTCTTCCCTGAATATTTTAGACAAAGATTTTTTTAATCAAACTTTTTACTTGTACATTCCCTTACTCAGTTCAGTCTTTATCTCTACATGTACACCAAAAATTTGAGGGACATTAGTAATATCTTGCCAATCAAAGGACAGAGCAAAAATGATGCTGAATTACAAATCTGCCAGTGTCTAGACTCCTACTAGCCCAGTGTTCATCCAATCCCAGAACTTTTCTCAGTTTCTCAGCCTTTAAAATGGGGCCATTTTCATTCACTGGTCCCACAAATGTCTTGCAGAAGGTGGCACAAATTGGTATGACAAAAGCTGTCTACAAAATGCCGAGAGCCTCTGTTGGTCTAAAGACTCTGTCTCTCCCTTGACTATCAAACATCTTCATTGATCCTTGTCAACACTTAAGCCCACAAACAGTTTCTTTGTTGAATATAGGCTTAGATTTTTTTCAAACCCACAAAAAACTAAACCATCACTTGTTCCTCCTTAAATAAAGACAGCAGGATTGGGCTGAACACAGCAATCACAAGTTCAGCTGCTGAGCACTGGAAGATAGGGACAAAGAACCCACAGACGGGTCCCTCCACCTTCTCTTTGGCTCTGAATCATTCCAGTAGTTTCCAATACCAAGACTGCCAGGCACTGCTCTCGCCCCGTGGCTTCTGTACTAGTTGCACTTTTAAATTTACTGAAAGGAAGTCGAAGGGATGGGCTTTTCCTCACGACAAAGCCCCGGCACGCCTCTGGAGGAAGTAAAGAAGGGCAGCAGCTGCTGTTTTTGTTACAGGCTTTCTGACTTCCTCGCGGGAGTTTAAGACAGTGGCAGCCTGGGGCCCCACCCCCACCCTTTACTCAGGCCTGGAACCTCGATCGCTGTCCATGGTTCTGAACCTCAACTTTCAGGCTTCCGGAATCCATTAAATTTCTCTCTCAGCTTCCCCAAACAACTGCCCCTCCCACCGGCCTGCGCTCATAAAATCTCTACATTCTTCCTTCCATCCACGACCCCTCCAACTTGGCATTTTATCTCCGTCTGCGTTTTATTCTATTTCGACTGAAGTCCTCCAACCTACCACCTAGGGACATAGCCCAAGCCCTAAAGGTTATCAAAGTTAAAAAGCCCCCTGCTTCACCCACTCTCTTCCTTCCACTCTGGTTCCGACTCCCGACAGCGCACATCACTCCACGCGCCAGACTCGTCTCACCTGACTCTCCCGCGGAAACTCGTGGCGCACTATGCTGAGCACTGGGATGTGCAGGACAGAGCTGACCAAGTCCAGCTCCATCATCTCGCCTTGGCTCTGGGGGAAGGCCAGTAGCGCCGAAACCCCTTGTACCACTACGGTGTGGCATACGCTTTGCAGAAAGGAGAAAGGGTCACTGCTCCACGGTGAGCTTGGGGAAGAGAAGGGCATAAGTGGCAGATCGCCCAGGCCCGCCTCGATGGCCATCACTACTTCCAAAGACAGGTTGTAGGGTAGTAGTCCTTCCACACGGTTCAGGTTGTCCACAGCGAACAGGAGGGCATCCCGTGGCCACAGGGTCTCGACCCCGGCGCCTCCCCCGAGCTTCCGGGAGCCAGGCGGACCCCGGCCATGCAGGGCGCTCCCCAACCAGCGTGCGCCTTGTGAGGGCGCCGGTGGCCGCCAGGTCCCCGACTCTGGCTCATCCCTCTGGGCACCCGCCCTGCCGCTGTCCTGAGCGCGGTTGGTTGAGCGTGGGGCCGTGGTCCAGGGCTGCAAGTGCACCGCGCCCACCCTCACCGCGTGTCCGATGCGCTTGAGGATCTGGCAGGGTTGCGGGTGCGAGGAGGAGCTGGGCACCCCGGCCAGCACCAGTGCGCAGGGCGGCGGCAGCAGCAGACAGACCCTGCTCAGCAGCCACCACAAACTCAGTCTCCTCATTACTGAGACCCGCAGGGAGAAAGCGCGCCCCCTCCTGCGCCCGGCTCACCCCTCTGCAGCCGCCGCCGGAGGTCTCCGCTGCCTGAGGTCTCCGCCTCCAAGTCCTGAGCGCAGCTTCCCCAGACACAGTGAAGCGGTGGCAAGAACCGGACTGGTCCCTGGGCATTCCAAGTTGCAGCCTAGCGGACGCCCGGCTGTGTCGGATGCGGTTCTCGGGCTCCTCCGCCTAGCATCCTCCTCACGCGCCTCAGGCCGACGGACCAGTGCGGGTCACCCGCGGCTTGGACTCCGGGTCCCTGCCCACCCCATCTGCAGGGCGCCTGGGGCGCAGCGTCTGGCCCCGCAATAAGTCTCCGGGTTTACAAGGGGACGGCAGTAACAGAGGATCCGTGCTCTCACTTGGCTGGTTTCTTTTCTCTTGCTGTTCAGTTCAGGCGACACCCCCTTATTTACTAGGGTGGCGGAGAAGAGGGCGTTCACGCCCGGGGTACAGGAAAGCAGCACCGGAACCTGCTTCCCTTCCCCGCCGGCCACACTATCGCGGGTTCCCCCAGCGCCTGCTTCATTTTCCCTTTTCCTTCTCTACTTCCTCTCTTCCTTTCTCTGCCGGGCTTTTCTCCCAGGCGCCACCTCCGCGGCTTCCTCGGAGGAGCGACACAACTGGCCAGCGAAGGGTGGTTCTGCTCAGAGCGCCAAAGTTCTCCCCGCCTCAACCGGCGCCTCCCTGTAGCCTAGCCCTGGCACCAGCCTGTCGCTTGGCTGCGCTAAACGCCCACTGATGGTGAGATTCTCCTGCCGCACTTTCCCACGCCGCGGCAAAGTCCTCGCCCCTCAAACGCAGCGAGTTGGTAGCAGGCACAATTCCCTGTGGCGGATGAGCGCAAAGACTGAGCCCAGGAGAATTTTGAATTCAGAGTCACTCCGGAGAGATCTAAAACCCAAATGAAACCCAGTGGGTCACAGGGACCGATTTAAAGATACCGATTTTAAGGAGCTTCCCTTGGAGACACCTCTCTAAGGGGTTAAGGGGTTCTTTTTCTTTTTTGTACTCCAGGGTATTAAAGCAAGAATTATTTACACATCTGATTTCATTCTTTGGCAGAAGAACCTTTGCGTTTTTTTT